TTTAGCACCAAATCAGAAGCTGTAGATTGAAAGCTATTGCCAGGTATCACATAATAAAAAAAACATATTTTGTAATAAACATGTTTATTATAAAATCTTTGGTGTTTTATCAGTCAAAGTACTCCTTAAAAACTTAATATAACACTGGATATATTTTCAATCTCCACACAAATACTATCAAGTCAAATTACCACAATTAAAAACAATATTAAATTCCATATTTAAAGTTTTTTATATATATATTTCTGTTAAAATTGTGTAAATATGCTCATTTTGTTTTGTCAATAAATGCAAATATTCTATGTATGCTAATGCCAAAACTAGCATTGAGGACATACATAAATATATTTTCTTTTGTATATTCATAAATAGTCACTGATGACAATCTGTGTCTAATAAGTTAGTTGGTTTTTATTTAGTTTAAATGTTCCTTCAAAAGAAACGTAAGTTGGAAAATAGCCATTTACGTTTGTTTGCACCAAACTGGAAAATGTTGACTTCAAGTAAAAGACAGAAGTACTTTTAGGTTTTCACAGTCACAGCTGAAGAATTGTGCTTTACATCATTTAAGATCATCCATGTTTATTCAATCTATTTTTTCATGAAAAGGCTGTGATGCACTCCTTTAGTTCAGCTAAAATGTGTAGCTAACTTGGACACTGTGGGCGCAAACTACAAGCAGTTTTAAAATTGTCATTTTTTCTCATTTAAAAATTGATTACCAACTGCGTGTTAGCATATATGCTTAGATATTATGAGAGTAAGTATTCACAGAAAAAACTCCACTGTTATTGCTTTTTAGCTTAGCTCGCACCAAACGTTAAGCTATGCTAACTTCCGTTAAAAATGATTTCATCATAATTTCTTTTTGTGCATTGCAAATTATGTTGTGTTTTAAGAATTTTTAAAGTACATTAAAACATTTATGTTTAGGTCTGTGCAGTAAGAGAAACGGGGATTTTAAAGCTGCTAACTTGTGCTGACATGGGCAAATAAACTTTATTTGGCATGTATACAGCAACAGTCTGTAACTCTTCTAGCCAAACTTTCTTGTCTTTAACTTCGTTTTTCTATCCTCTACACAACCTGCTGCCACAAATTTAAAAGTAGTGGGATTTTCAAGCTAATTTAGCCAAATAAATTTATGCTAACTAGAGTTTTGTAGGACAGTTTTTCTAAAATGTTGCTACAGGCCAAGTGTCTACTCCTGTGTTTACTTTATCATACTTTTTAAAAGTGGAGAAAATCTCTATAATTTATCCAATTTGCTCCATCATAGGAAGTATTACCATTAATATTTTACTTCATTTGAAAGAGGAAGGCAAAAAACATTGAGCCAGTACGTTTCCTGCCTGTTTTTTTTCCTTCCCTACCATTTAATCTACGGTTTTTTAATGAAAAGGAGAAAAGCGAGAACAGTGGAAAGAAGGAGATGTCAAGAATGAGGTTGGCCACCCCCCTGACGGGGTCAAACTCAAGGGGTTAATACCTGGTGTCCGACACTGCACATAAACTCCGCTGAGCTCATCACACTAATTAAACAGACACACATCCTCCCGGAGCTCCGATGGCCAATCGCTGCCAGCTAAAAAAGCAGTCCATTCATGGAGGTTGGCAGGGTTTGCATGTAGGGTGGGCTGCAGAAATGCTACCTGCCCTTCCTCAGTTTGATTAATGCGAAGAACAATGGTGCTCTTGTGGCCCGTCAGCCTCACTCCACTTGGTTCTGGTTCAGCGCTTGAAGAGACGGGACTGCATGTCCCAAACTCATGCCCCCTAAACGTACCAGCGCTGAGCTTTACAACTTCGTGACGGACGCCGTATCTCAGCCTGTTCATCATACAGGATGACAATATGACTCCTAGTTATTTAATTATTGCCTTTAGTATTTAATTACAGTATCATACAACTTAAACACAAAGAACTAAATTTGTTTAGGCACTTTTCAAATTAAAAGACTTCACTTTCTGTAGCTTATTTGATAATCTGGTAGACCCGTTTTGAGTAGGGACCAAAACTGAAACATTTCTTACATTTTCTGTTGTTTATCACACTGCACCGAGTCAAGGAATCCAAACTAATTTAAAAACCTGTTCCCCTCCTGGCCTGTGGTGGCGCTGCACCAAAACCAAAATGGACTGGCATATTTGTTTTGGTTGTATTTACCCAGAATGCCCTGCGCTGTAGTCCACTTCCTGCTTTTGGAGCGTTCTCTGGTCCACATATGCATTCAAACCACATAAAGGTCCATTTCGCCTACAAACGTGGGTCTCAATTCGGTTGGACAAGAGTTTGTATTTTTGTTTGATTACATATTCTCACCTCCACAAACAAACCAAACTCTCTAGCCAAACAAACTGGAGTTCATTTAAGGTAGAATGAAACTAAACTACATCCCCAGGTTGATTCTTGATTTGGCAGTCGGTTTTGTCAGGGAGGCGGAGAACACATTTTTATTTATTGCAAAATGTCACAAGCTATTACCGTATTGTCTCATTTGTTTGTCTTATCAACATTTAAATAGAAACATCACATGAAAGTTAAGTGAAGCTCTCAATCTGAACGCTGCTGCTTCTCTTTTCTCTTCAGAAAGTTTTATCAACAATGTCAAAGCATCTTTTCTTGTTGTGGAGGAGTTGAACGCGCGCCTCACTGTTACATTCAGGGGGATAAAGCCGTCAGCGCTGTGTCTCTCAGGGAGTGACAGCATGTCAAAACTTGGACGAGATAATTAATTGCAGCACTTCCCTGAGCTGCAGGCTCAGCTGGGACTTCACCAGTGCTTTGCCAGGAATCTCAGTTTCAGCCATGACAAAACAGGGAGACAAATTGAGCCACCTGCATGTCTGCGCAGCCTGACAACTCATCTCACTTGCAAATTCAAAGTGTTTTACACTCAGCACAAAGGAGTCCACGGAGGCAGGCCCGCGTCTCACCAGCTTTAAGGTTTGACGGGTCTTCATGCCGCTATGTGACATTTAAAAACAGAGGAGGCTGGGAAAGGGCCTGCACAGTTCTGATATGGTGATATGGTGTGGCTGAATGGATCGGAAAAGTTTTCCCAGCCAATTCAGCTTACATATCAAATTTGAATTTGTAATTTAAAGGGGCAACGTTCCATAAAATCAACTTTTTTGTTGTTTTTTATCAAGTGATAATGTTATTCCCTCATCAAAAACATACCTGGAGTGTTGCCTTGATTCTGTGAAGAATGTTTTACAAATACTTTAATGTCCCATGGCAACCTATCAGCTGTGCAAACTTCTGCTCCTTCAGACTAGCCAGCAGCAATTAGCAAGCACTTACAAGATTGAGGTCTGTAGGCGGACCAAAGTTAATTTTATTAGTCGATTATGTATTCACACCTCCCAAAACAAACCAGACTTTCCAGACAAACAAACTGGAGTTAGATTAAAGTGCCCTTTAGCAAGAGTTCTCCTACAAGTCCAGAAAATTCTGCATTACTTTGTTTTCTCGCTGTTTTACAGAAGAATCTAAATTAAATATGTTTTTAGGGCTTTGTTTTCAAACAACAGACAATTCAACATCTCTACTCTTCAATTTGAAGATCAGCTGATCGAAAGGCGTCAGACTGTAAGCGAAGATGGTGCAAGTGATTTAAGTTGTTTAACAAGCGGGCCGACAGGTTGCACAGACGTCAGCCTGCAGCTCTGACTCTTATCTGGTTGTTCGCATCGTCTGTGAAGCCACCAGTTCAAAGAGGAGCTGTGAATGGGGAACCAGTCTCTCCAACACACTGGCAGACTTTGCAAAGCTCAGCCCAAACGTGCAACTCTCTCCCCTCAAACCTGGGCTTGTTTAACTGCTGGCAGCCGCCGGCAGCAGTCAGATGTTTGCCAGCTGAGCTGAAGTGTGCCCACAGAGCACACACTGCAGCGACCAGAACCGCATGCCCTCACCTTGTCCACCTTGGCGCTTTTTGAGTTTGATGGGTGGGGGGAAAAAAAACCCTATCCCTCTGCAAATGAGAAGTCAAGTGCCAGACAGCATATTTATACATCTTAATTAGCAATAATGACTCCCAGCACCTGCCAGCGAGCTGGTGCCAGTGGTTACTGTGTTGTGTTGACTAGACTGTGTGTCTGTTGTTTGCCTGCTACTTACAGCACAATTACATTACAAATTGAAACTGTTAGCAGCAGCAAGAGTGCTCCTGAAATCCATCCCGAATTATAACTCGGCATGCTTCCGATTTATGAATAAGGAGGCGGAACAAGAGCTGGCTTCAAACTTTATCATAACCAGATTTTAAAGGGGATCTATTGTGCAAAATTTACATTCTGCATATTTTTGTTGCACTTCCGTTTGGGTCACAGCTGCTTCTAAAAATATAATCTATCATTTCTCATACATTTACTAAACATAGAAAAAAATACAAACAAAAAACACATCAACAAAGTATTAAAGAACTGATTATGCAAAATTAGCATTTTGTTTTTGTACTTCCATTTGGGCTTCTAAAAACAACTTCTAAAAGTGCTTAAAAAACACACACATCTAGAGGTTTTTTGCCAATAATATTTTTGATATCTGATAAAGGAATCGTTTCAGAAATCTCCTGAATGTAATGTCACAAAACGGCACTTAGCAAAACCAGTAAATTAAATCCGTTACCTAACAACCCCAGTAGAGTTTGGTCAGCTGGTTTTCTGCTCTATGTGCTTTACAACGGCTACTGGAAAAGACAACTGTTTTGTTGTGCGAGTGGCCAGCAGCTTATTTGGATTTAAGAGTGGCAAGATGTCCTAAAACAATTTATTCTTAAACAGAGCACACTAATATCTCATTATCTAGGATGTTGTTTTGTATATATATCTCATAGATATATATATTCAAGGAAGCATTATAGGTCACCTCTAATCAAACAACTGTGGCATTTTAAGGTTTATATACAATTTAATCTTTGGTTTAAATCACACCAGAATGAAGACAAAATCAGCACATCCCAAAACCATAAAAAACAACTCAGATTTCTTTACCGTGAAATAAGCTGTAGCCCTCCTCTCTGACGTCTGGATTTATGGCCTGGTAATTCCCCTCTGGAGTAATTTGGCTGGTACATCTGCAGCTTAGCAGCATTCCTGCAGAGCTCTCCTGCGCTGTGAAGTCAGGAGATGACTGATTGATTGATTGTATTACTCCAGTTTTAGCATGGCTTTTGCAAGCTATAGCAGTGATGTTTTAATATGGCCCGTTCGCTGAGCCGTCTGCATGCCTCTAGGTTGGCCTGCTGGGAACGCCGCAAATCACGGCTGGAAAGTAAACCTTTCAAACATAACATTCAGACAACTATACATGTAGACATATGTGTGTGTGTTAGTACATCTAAAAACATTAGAATACTGCATAAATATGCAATATTTCTTGCCAGTCACCTTTAGCATTTTTTATGAGTATGGCTTTCAAGTAAACCCAAAAAGTCTCAGAAATTTAGACCAGCCAAAACTGACGTTTTAAGCACAAATGTCTGGCATCTGAAAAGTCTGTACATTTCCATGTTACCTGGTTGGGCTCCTCTTGCATCAGTACACCGAGACCTGTGGTTCTGCGTGGCTGTAATGAAAGGCCAGGAAGCTTTGATAGCTGCCTTCTTGGGTCTGGATCGCTCATCTTCATCTAGTCAACAGCTCAGAGCTTTTCTCTGGGGTGAAAGGTCAGGAGAGTTCGCTGAACATGAGCGCCAGGGTCATTGAACCAGCTTTTGGAAAATAAAATCAGCATCTCCATAAAGTTTGTCAGTAGTTGGAAGCAAGACGTTTACTGCGGACTTCAGGAAGCCCAGCGAACCAGAACAAGCAGATAACATGTAGAACCAACAATCACTGACTGTGGAAACTTCACACGCGACCTCAAGAAATGCTAAATAAATAATATTTAGCTTGCTAACTATTTAATTTGCATACCTGCTAACTAGATTTTTTTACAAGCTAAAGCTAAGTTAAATATTGAACTTTTAAAATAAACAATTTTCAAACTAAATATTTATTTTCCAAACTAAATATTTACCTTGATAACATAATATTTAGGTTCGGAGCTGAAACATTTGCTAATGTGAAAATTAGCGGAAGTAGACTATCACAATAAAAGCTAGGAATTGATTATGTCTACTGATAAACTCCTGCTGCTGGCGAGAATGGATCAATTCATCCGACCTTCAGGTAAATTTTTCTTTTCCATTTATTCTTTTATTCTCGGCATGTCTAACAGGTTAGCTGAAATCACATTGTGTGCCGTTTAACAGACGTTTACTCACTGATCGACAGCAACAACTTCTGCTCAACATCCGCCACTGTGGTCAACCAGAACACTTCCGGTTCATGGTGGATTTATTTTTAAGTTACTTTAGAGCAGCTACCAACGTTAAAGACTTCGTATCGTAGAAATATAAAAGAAAAAATAAATAAATAAGGGCGATAAAGCCTTTTTTGTGACGGTTTCACGCTTGTCCTAAATCGGAACAGTTTGGTTTTGTGGACGTGACTCGGTGCATCCCAGTAATGGCCTCCGCTGGTTCTTAATGGACCAGAAATATTTGGTTGAAACGCCCAATAAATAAACCCAGGAGGAAATGACTAAAGTTTGCTACTTTAAGTATTGAGTATTACTCGTAGGTATTTCAGATTCCCGAGCTACGTTTTCAGTGGAATACTTTAAATTTGCTCTAAGAAAGTAAATATGCTAATTTTCTGTAAATAGAGTCTCAAATAGGCAGGAATCTACTGTACTGGCTAAAACATAGAAGTTTCAGCCAGACTTACTTTGTCGATAAAAATTATTACAGACACAACATAAATAACCATTTTGAAATCTTTTTCAAAGTTAAGGGAAAAATATGGGATGTCTAAAAAGCCATTCCAGTCTCTGCTGCACTTTCTCTGGCTTGGATTCGTTGAGGACTTTGCTAATGAAAAACAACATTCTCATGTTGGTGTTGACAGATCAGCTCTGTAGGATAAAGTCTCTTTTTAAACCACCATGTTTTTTGTTTTTTTAGTTTCCATCATAAATTTCCATCTTGACTGAGATCCAGATTGTTTTCTGGCCTCTCCACTGAGCTGATCTGCCTGTCTTGAAGAAAACTTTTAACGTTCTTAGTGGACAAATGTGTTATGACCCATAAAATACTGATTTCACCGTCACCAAATAGGATTAATAATCAATCAATTACCAGTGGATCTGTGATCTCCTCATGAGTTATTTCAAATGGCACCAAAACCAAACGCTTCAGTATCTTCTCCTTGGCTATGCAGGCTACAAATTTGTCACTAAATCCCAGTTTTCGTTCCATCATCATGACTGTGCTGCTTTAGCTCTCTGGAACTTTGTTTTCCTCTCTTTAGCGGTTGACTCCTGCTTCTGTCCATCTGTCTTCTATTTCTTTTGTTGTGTAATTTCTATTTTCATAACAGATTGGTTTGATGTTTTCCTTCATCTATACTGCGTGTTCCCGTTTGGTTTGGACATGTTGATAATTTGAGACCCAGCTGACTGGGAAAATCCAGGAACTTTTTACCACTGTGCTGATTTACTCTTCTGGGGGAGTTTGTTTCAACTGAAATTACCGTTATTTCTGTTTTAAGGTCTCGTCAGACTCATTTACATGATCAGACGTCCTTGTTTTGCTTTAAAACAGCAAATTAAACAGTGAATTCATACTTCTCCCTTTATTTGGAAGTGGCAGGAGGACATCTGCTGTTGCTTATGGTGCATATGGTTCACATCTTCATCACTGGTCTTATTTTATCAGCTGTGATCCCGTGTTTGTGTGAAAAGATCTCTCTTAAAGATGAATTTGGGATCTCAAATAATCTAACCTACATTAATAAAAGACAAATTAGCAGAGAAAATGAAACTGAATAAGTAAAACCAACTGAAATCCCTCCAGGATTTCTCTACAGCAATACAGTATTAAAGAAAAAGAAAACTAAAACTAAAGAAGAACTCAAGAAAACAAAAGCATTTCAATAAATCAGAGTACTATTGAATGTTTCAACTAATTTAACTAAAAAAGAAAACAATGTAGATTAATTAACACCTCATCCATGTGACAAATTGATTTCAACTCTTTTTTGTTAATTATGATGATTTTTCTGTTTACAGCCATTTAAGATTAGAATATTACATCAAAACAATAAAAATTAAAACATTTTTAATACAAAAGTTTTTAATGGCTGCTTACAGATTGTTTTACAATAATTTCTTCTCTCTAAAGTTAATATATATATAAATGTTTGAAAACAAAATAAAACATGTGATATTAAGGGGAAACATTAAATTAAAATCATACATTTAAAAATTTTAGGTTTGAGTTTCAAAAGCTAAAAGTTTACTAAAAAAATAACTCAAAAATTTAGAGATTAATTTCAGTGATATTCTAGAAGAAACTTGTAAATTTCAGTTGTTAAGAAAAACAACTAAAAATTTTGTGATCAATGTCAGAATTTTTCTAGAAAAAAAACTTGGCAATTTCTAAGTTTCAAAGTAAAAAATGTGCTTGAAAACACTAAGATGTTCATTTTTGGAGCTTAAATAAGAAATTTCTTACCTACAGTGGCCTGAATATAATACATAAAAGCATCACATTATTTACTCAATAAGCAGTTAAAAATAGTTAAGCATCGCAGTGTAACAAATTTTTAGAATGTTTAATTTACATGTTTAAAAATGTAAGAGTTAGCTTTAGCCCTAATACGTCTGCCTGTATTCGTTTGTTTACCTGTTGACAGATTCTCCTTTTACTGGCTGTCATCTGGCTTTTTGTTCACCAGACGTGTGGCACCTATCAAAGTCAGACAACAGCATCAATAAAAGACAACATTGGTGCGTATGACACCTGATTTACCTCCAGAGATGAGCCAACAAAGCCTGAGATGAGGGCGGGGTCCGCCCCTCCTGGGAGTCTGAAGGGTTAACCTGGACATCTGGCCCTCGATCACCCAGCAGGTTTGTCTTCCTCCCTGCAAACACCTCATCCATCTGCTGAGTTTCTCCATGATGCTGCAGACGCGTGCAGTGTGACACCGATCCCCGTTCTGACGCCCATCCATATTTAAAGGGCCTCGCCGCCGACCTGTAGGCGGCCCTTTCTGCCACGCGTCGCCTCTCTTGTACTCTCACAATTTTACACAACATGTTTGTTTGATATTTCCTCAGATTACTGGAAGGTGATACATAACGGACAATGAGCTAATGTGCATCAGCTCAGCAGGCCCTCAGGCGCCACGTGCCGCCGCCGCAAAGGAGACGGGCGCTGTGAAATCCAATCGGTCAGCGTGTGAGGATGACTCCCAAGTTCAACAGGTGACACCTAAAGGAAAGCCCTAATTACAAGCGGTCTCTGTCAGGCAGACACTGGAGGTCAAACACGTTTTCATTTCAAGTTTCTAAATGTCCTCAAAGGGCCGGCTGCAGCAGAATCTAATGACTAAATCCATCAAACTGTTGAAATATTAATAAATAGCTGCCTCTGCATTCGATTCGCTCATTTACTGAGTACTTCTGTTCTAGTTTCTGCCACCAATATCTTATTACACTTGAAATAAAACAAAAACAACCTACAAGCAACTTTTCAGCATAAAATTGTTTTAGGTTAATAGTTTCTTATCGGAAAGCGCTAATCCCTGAGCCGTTACCTAGCAACCCTGTTCTAATTCCAGATTATTTCACTTAAAACGTTGAAAATACGTCGTTACAAAACTTATGCTTTCTGAGTGCAATCTAAAGTTGATTGATCTTATCGATCAAGTTATGACTAATTAGTAAACGTCCATGTTTTTAAAAACTTTAGTTTTCTCGTATCAAGAGGGACGGTCGTCTTTTCATAACAAAAAGAGCAACATTTTTCACATTATGCAAAATAAAATTAAAATAAAAACATATTCCACTTATTTTGTCAGCTGTGCTAAATACTAACTGCATAAACAGGAAATTGTGGTTTGTTCACATTATTAAACTTTGTAGCACATTTCTAATTTTTGGTATAAAAATTGCAGCTCGGCTGAATAAAACGCTGTTTAGTTGATAACTTAAGGAGTTTGTTGTGAGTTACACTTCTAAACAAAACTGCATAAAGTGCATTTTTCATCTCAAACCGGACTCTGGACTGTTTCTCCTTCCTGCTGCCATCTTGTTTCTATATTAAGGGACTTTGAGCTTCAGGATAACCAGTGGCGCACTCTGCTGGTCGGCAGCCAAACTACAACACTGAGGTCCTTATTAGTTAATTGATTTGTTAATCAATTGGAACTTATTTTAATCAACAATTAATTGTAAGCCAATATATTAGTTGCATTCCTAGTTAACATCAGACAACATCACCAATCATTTTGTAACAGAAAACATTAACAAGTTGTAATTTTTTAATTTTTATGCCTAGAAAAAAAAAAAAAAATAAATAGATATATATATATATATCTATATATATATATATATATATATATATATATATATATATATATGGTATACAATGGGAAACGGCAAAAACAATTTTTTCCAGTGACTTTATTGAAAAGAACATTTACAATCTTGTGAAACACAGGCGATGACGAGGTCTAAAGCACGTGAAGAAATAGTGACTATTAAGAAATGCATCACCAAAAGCATTCTCAAGAATGCGTTTGATTCTTTAACCTGAAATAGCCTGATACGGTTGTCAATTCAGAGTTTTCCAGCAGCTCCGTGTGTTTCTACAAAGAGGAATACATTCTTGTCCTCAAACGTTCACAGATAAAACTCTTGCATACTGGTTGAAAAGTAAAAGTTTTTCTTAAAAAAAAAAAAAAAACTTGTCAACCAGCTTAGAGTTTCACCAACTATACCTGGGTTGGATGACATTTGATAAAAATGAAGCCAGTTTGTGGGAAATAAAGGCTTAATGACCAAGAAAAGCCACAAAATCTGGCAGATGTGAAATACAAAAACATGTGACGGACATGCAGGAATGACATTCAACTCCATATTCTACTAGTGTACCATTAAAAAAACTGATGCTAGCCCCTAACCTCACCTTGATGTAACTGACACACTGAACTTAATCATGTGAAACTGGGCAGTTTTGTCATCAATATCAACATTTCCCACTATAAACACCACAAAGTATTGTGATTAACTTTCATCTTTTATGACAGAAGGTAGCTTTAAGCAGAAACATCCAAACATTTTCAGGCCTTAGTGGATTTGAAAACTCCTTCATGTTTATTGGCACCCGTCAAAAATGTGTGTAAAAAGACTCTGGGTGTAAAAGTTATTTACACCCTGAGAAGCAGGAAGTCACAGATTATATCAACCTCAAAAAGAAATGTAGAAACAAAAAAAATGCTTCAGTTCCATTTGTTAGAAATGCTGGAAATTTGATCATTTGCCAAGAATAACTGTACTCAGATTAAAAATTAGTTGGTTTTTTTTAAAATCTGTGAGATTATGCAACAGCTAAGCCTGTTGAAATAAGCAATTAATTTCATGATAAATTAAAATGAGCTTGATAATTTACATTCTGCTGATTAATTTTTAAGGGAAATTTTGTTTACAAGGAAGACAAAATCCATTTTATTTGTGGTTTTGGTTGTGTATGGTGTCTATTTCTGGTTTATTTATTGTTCTATTGTGTGTTACTTTAGATATTTGCAATATCTTCCAGCTCCAGTGTTAACTGTTCTTTAGAAAACTAAAGTTTATTGGTCTTTGCAAGGGCGAACTTGCATTACACTGTACTAAAATAACAATATCATTGTTATTTTTGAATAACTTCTGGGGCAATTTGTCATCCAGCTAGAGTTGATTTATTTTAAGGCTTTTCACACATCTCTACTAGCGGTGCTAATAAACCGCAAAACATTTAATGAATAAAATAAATCAACAATCATGATGCAGCTCAGTCTCCCTGCAGAGTGGATCCTCTACATTCGCTGTGCAAAATGAATGACATCTAGATTTGTGTTTTAGTTTGACGTCTACAAAAGAAGACAATTATGCAGAAGCATAAAGCAAATGCAATAATCAAGCTAAAAGAAAACAAAGAAATGACAGGCAAAATTAATTAATTTGAACTAGTCACCCCGCCGCCCCCCTCCTTCAGCTTTCATTTGAACTAAATAACCTCAGGGTCCACATTTATTCGACATTAAAACGTCGTCAGACCTTTTCTTTTACATTCTGTCAGTAAAGCAAAGCAATCAGGCTTTGGGGGAAGATTGTGCGGGTAAACAACCTGTTCCACAATCGCCGCGACGTTTAGTCTGACAAAAATTCATACAGGCATTCATTTCACTTATAAGCCAGTTTCATCCCCCATATTTTGAAATGTGGTACTCGAGTAGGCAGAAAAATCCCCAATAATGACTAAAAGTCACAAATCATCTACACAATATGTACAATGGAAGTACCAAGAGTTCAGAAAGGCCCGAGAACACGCAAAAAAAAAAACAAGAGAACTAAATAAAATGACAGCTTTAGCTGGAGCGAGCAGGCAGCATAGCATCACATCATACTCACACCAAATCTGACATTTTTTGGCATCAGAAAAAACAAAACAAATCAGTTCCAGCAGAAGCTCATTCATTTACAATCCTGAATGAAGGGTGTGACGTTAGCCAGCGAACAGGATGAAGCCAATACTTTAAAGGCAAGCGTGTCAACGGCCTTCATAGTGTTTCCACTTTACAAAAGAAGAGCAGAATACATTCAGTACCGGGAGATTTTGGCCTCCAGTCGGGAAAAACCATCGCAGAGCAGCAGAACGACGATTTCACAGCAGCAGAAAGTAATATGTGAATGGAAACCAGTCAAATGTTTGAACTGGAGGATAATCTGACCAGTGAGGAGGCTTCACACTGCAAAAACACAACAGCTTACCAAGTATTTTTGGCAATTTTTGTAGTGCAAATATCATAGTAAACTTGAAATAAAAAGCAACAATTCAGCAAAATCTAACAACTCATTTTAAGTAAATAATTCCTAATATTGTTTAAGGCAGATTATTTTGCAAACAAAATGTGCCGTTACCTGGCAACACCGGCCAGCAACCCAGTTCTAGACCAACTGTTTACGCAGTAAATTTCATCAATATTCAGAAATTACCGACTTAACGCAAACTCCTCTTACTCGTTAGCTTGTTTTCTTGTATTTCACCTGTACTAAGATATTTACACTAGAAGCCAAAAGTACTTGGTAAAGTTTTGCGTTTTTGCTGCTGTGTCCAACATTTCAACCAACAAGAAATAAATGAAAGTTCAAGAAAAACAAACAAAAAACTTCTTAGGAAAAGTTGGCAGCTTTTTCTAAAGTAAAAAATAAACTCACCACAAGTGACGATTTACACGTACCTACAAAACCAACAAGTGAATATTACATTAATATGTTTTCAAATTTTAGAACAGAATCCTCTATTATGGAATAAAAAACACATTTCAAAATGAGGTGAATTTTTTCTATAAATATGGAAAATAAAGAAAGATCTTTGGACAGTTGAAGTCAGTTACTCTTAAAAGCATGTTTTAGATACTAAAAGTAGATTTTGCTTGAGAACTTATAGAAAAAGTACTAAAATTAACATTTTTGTTGCAATTATGATAAAAACATTTCCTGTTTGTTTTTGTAACAGCCACCGATTGCAAACATTAATTTAATCAAAGGTTCAGTTTCTAGATTCAGGTGAAACCAGAAATTTACATACACCCAATAAAAACACGTGATTTTTCCCTCACTCTGAAATATTAATCTGACTAAACTTTTCTTGTTTTAACTTAGTTAGAATTACTAAAATTATCTGTATTTGCTAAATGATAGAAAATATTTAGAGGTTTCTTTGTGACGTTCGTCGAATTTGGTCAGTATCAGGGTTAAAAGTCTGTCTTGTGAAAGAAAGGACTTCTCTAAATGTAAATACAAATACTTGCTATGTTTTCTGCCATTTAGTAAATACAAATAATTTCAGTGATTCCAACTAAGCTGAAAAGAAAAGTTTAGTCAAATTTAACTTCAATACAGTGAGAAAAAATGTCTCTTTTTATGTAATTAACTGGTTTCAACTGAATGTAAAGCTGTTCAAGATGCAAAAACTTGCTCAATATAGTATTAAATAAGAGCATTAAATACAAACACAACCCCCTAAGAAAGAGTTTTATTTGCAAAATTATAATTTTAAAATTAAATTGTTGTGCTGAATGCAGTTTTCAGGCCAATCTTCAATCTTTAAAAAGTCTGATCTGCTGATTTCGATTCTTTTATCTCAAAAGTTGCTGAATATAGCAACAAAGTGCCGAAGTTGGCAACAGTGCTGACTATTGTTAATCGCACTGGGACGATTTATCAGTCGACCCCATTATAAAATCCCACTAAATCCTAATAAGTTTGTGGTTTAAATCGAAGAAACTGTGGAAAAGTTCAATGGGTTTTAATACTTTTGGAAAGTACAGCAGATTACTGATAAATTGATAAAACTGGATTCAGTTAATGGTCGTTTCAATGTAGATAAAGCACATTAACTATTTACAGGGGGGCCAAACATTTTAAAACAAAACTGAGCCAAAACTGTCAAGTTAAGAGTATTCAGAGGATATTTCTTTTGTTTTCTCCCCAATTAAAAATGCAAAATAACTTCATTTTGAATCTTTTTCTTCTTATTTGCTCACTAATAAATTTAACATGCTTTAACGTGTTGATGATAAAGGAGAAAAGAAAGTTGTTTCTGCGGGCCAGAAAAGACCTTAACCTTAATAAAACAAAATGAACGACTTCTCAACATTTGGGTCGAATCCGTTTTCCCTCCAGCAAAAACAAGGATTTTCTCTCGTAACTCTTACTTTATTTGAGTGGAAGTGGTCTGATCGGTTTTAGAGGAAAAGGTTGCTGAATGTTTACAATGAAAGGGAAAAGAAACAAGGATCGTAAATTAAAAATGAGAGGTGCACTGCACATTTCAATTACACATGTAAATCTGTCAGTTTCAGCTCCACTCGCTAAACAGCCAAATATTTAACACTTCTCGACTGGAAACAGAGTTAGAAAGAGTTGCTTTAAATAACAAGTCATGTTATTTAGGCTCACAGAGGTAAGAAAAAGCTGATAAAACATCAAAATAATAATGAACAGTGTTATATCTGAACTAAATGACATCTAAAAGTGTTTGTACCCTTAAAAATTATGAACAAATGAGCCATTAGGTCTCAGAAAGTATAAAAGTCTGAGGAATGTTAAAAGAAAAATCAGATTAATACGGAGGCACAAGGCAGAGTTTACCCATTAGGACCAGATCCACCTACAACACCAGCAACCAGATTTCCAGCTTCAGAATAATTCACTCTGATTTTGTACGTTTGCTCTGTGTTTTAATGGTGGCTTTAATTTAATGTTTAAAACAGAAGAAAAAAACAAGTGTTATATTTTAATTTGCGTGTCAGTTAGATAAATATAAAGCTTTTGGCTCCCATACATTATGGTTATGAGTCCATGTATAAATCGATAACATATCAAACTGATAGGCACATGTTATGTAAACAAATTCAATTAAATAGGTTCTTTTTTAGTTGTTTAACGGTCCTGTTAGCTCACAGGGTTTATGATCGGAGAAGCCTCTCACTGTGTTGTCCACACAAGTTGATATAGTTGCTAATCATCGTACTGATGTCTCTCCATGTGGCTGGCAAAGAGCGATTCGATCTGTTGCTCCACAACAACCACTTCCTTACAGTCATTTTCCTGACAGTCTCTGAACAAGGAATTTCTATTCAAACTAGGCCTTTCGCAGTAAGTCGCATGATAAATTACAACAAATTCACTAATTTTCATTGGAATCATTTCTCGTTTTTCTCTTTCTATGAAAAATTGGGTGATAAAAGTCTTCAGTCTGGTGCTTTGGTAAACAAAATTGGCCTTCAATTTTGTTTACAGACTTCATTATTCATTTTATTTGCCGTTTTGTTTATTTTAGATATTTGTTTAATGATCTTTGAGAATGTTTTCTTGTATTATTACACCATTATGTTACCTGAAATAGGCCTCAAAACATCAATATTATTGTTTTTTGCAATGGCTTCTGGGACAATTTATCATCCAAAGAAATGTTATGGTGAACGGCCTAGCATTCTTTATCCTGCTGGAGGGTCAAGGTAAACTAAAATGAAACAAAATTTTATGTTTTGAAACATCTTGCAATATCCTATACACCTGAGAATGTTGCAAAAAAAACTCCAGAAAATGTTCTTGCTAAGTTTTCTGGCATTTAGCAAATAGAAATAATTTTGATGATTCCAACTAACCTAAAACAAGAAAAGTTTAGTCTGATTTACCTTCAGACGTCGAGAAAAAATTTTATTATCTGTCATTTTATTATCTTTGAAAATCTGGTTTCAACTGTAAATGATGTTTAATGCAAAACTGTGGAGTTTGAATAACTTCAGCACCAAACCAAAGACTTTGAAGAATTTTACAAAGAAATCAAGGACTTTCCAAACCCTGACAACACAGAATAGAAATTCAAGCATTTCCATGAATTTCAAGCACCAGTCTGAGCCCTATATGTGTCTTATTGGATTAATGTCGGTATCAGTCGCTACTTAAAGCTCCAATATCGGCATCGCATCGGAAGTAAAAAAATTCCTCTTATAAGAAACATCGTCCTGTTTAATTGGAAAGCGAAATCTTTATCTCACTGACAAAAAAAATCAGTTTGTAACTTCAGTTTATCTTACAGAAGTTCTGGATGATCTTCTGTCTCCGTTTTAGAAACCAACATCCAGAAAGTGAAGCAAACATTTCAAAATCAGGAGTGATCATAAAGATGCAGCCAACTAAGTCTTTTCTTTCAAGACATTTTTAGAGAACACTTCATTTTGAACACCTTGGGAAAAAATTATATTTGATTTTCACCAACAGTACGTTCCAGTGATTAAAGTAACATTCATATGAGCTATAAAACACTTATAAATAAAGGATTGTGCAGCATAGATCCACATGTGTACCATTAATACCATCAGCAGCAGAGCTTCGAAGGAAACGACCAATCAGATCAACAGGAAGAGGCGAGTTCAACGCAAACGTACGATTCAAATGTAAACAAGAGAAATACCAGCAGGTTGTAAAGCAACATGTTTCCGTAGTGATTATATTGCACTTATTGCAAGTGAAGTTTGAACCCCTCCAACTCATAACATTAAAAAACACAAACATTTGTTCTTGGGAAAACATCTTCCAGTCAGTCTAGGAATATCTGTAGAGGACAGACCTGCCGGTCTAAAATGTTTGGAATCGATTGTAAACAGCTTGATTTGTAACGTAACAGCAGCTAACGCGTCCGGTAAACAAGTCTGGAAGCATCGCAGCCGATTATGGCAAATGGATGTGCAATAAATTACTACAGAGCTTAAAATAATCCAGACCAAAACCTTCTCAAGCTAATGTCTTGACTTCAAACATCAATGAATCATTTGTCTTTCAGTACAGCAACAAATATTAAAAGCAACCCCAAAATTTAAATTAAAAGAGGAAGTTAAAGTAGAGCTACTTGAATGTGATCGACCCTTGACCCCCGATCTCCTTCTGAACTTTTACTAACGACTTTTCATCCAGTGTTTGTTTTTAGCTCTTCTTTTTTGAGAGTTTACCGGCCTTCTTTTTGGGCTCGTAGGGAGTCCGTAGGATGCTGGGCGTCTCCTCCATGACGCGGACCAGCAGGTTGTCGATGTAGTCTTCCAGCTCCCGGATGTGCGCGTCTTTCTTCCGGACCACTTCCTTCTGCTTGATGAGTTCCTGGACGACCTCGTCAAAGGTCAGGTTGCTGTAGTTGGCTGCCGTGTCTGGTGGTGCCACCTGAAGGAAAACAAGAAATGAGTTTAAAAAAATGGTTCTACACGATCACAACTAAACGTTCAAAATGTCTGTCAGACAAGAGATGAGACAAATGTGTCAGGTCTGTTCTATCCGTCCATTGGCCCAATGGACAGGTCGATGGCAAATCCATGCATCCATACTGCTGTAGAAAGGTCTTCTGTAGATCCTCAATAAACTTGGATGGTTATTAAAAAATTGGGCCAAAATAAGCAGTAAAATCTGCTGTTTAGGAAACTTTTTGTTCTGTAATGAGTGGATACATTTTCTGACTGATTGATGCAGACATCAGACTTGAGTCAATGGATTTAATGCCGGACACGTTTCAAAATGTTTCGTGTTTCTACAGGAATCAAACCAGAGACCAGAGTTTTCAGTGAAACTTCTGTCAAAACTACATGAAGCCTTCGTGGGGAGATAAACGCAGCCAGACTGTTAAAAGTTCTGGTTAATAAACAGCCAATGAAATGTTGAGGGAAGCAGATCGTGCTCTGGCGTAATGGTTTTTAATGAGGGACTACTTTATCGCCTCGGCGCTGGGCTTCCTCCCACAGACGGACCGAGCAGTGAAAACCTCCGCCCTGTTTAAAATACCTCACTTATCAGCCTCCACTCCCCACCAGCCTCCACCGCTACGCAGAGACAACGCGCAGAGCGACCTGGAGCCGCAGCGCTCACCTGTGTCTTATCGCCTCCAGCAGCAGAACAACGCTGCCGCGTTGCCATGATGACCAAAATTAAATATCCGGCACTGAGATTAAATGAGGAAGGTTTCGAGAACAGAAGACGTCAGATAAATCAAAAAAAGTGAAATTAGGAGCTTTAAATACGACGTAAATTAAATAATAAAGAATGAAATCCCTCAGAGAACCGAGCATTACTGCAATATTGTTACCAGTACAGATATTAATATTAGATCGGTGTGTCTCTGCTGATAACTAGTAATAAATAATCAATATTAATCAATTATTTAGTTAAAACAAGCTCACATTTCTTGAAGAAAAGTTTCTTGCAAGTTATTTTTTGTTATTTGAGGAGTAGTAAGAGATTTACACTCGAAGTAGAATAAAGACACTTGTTAAGACTTTGCCTTTTTGCAGTGTTGAAGCCAGCAGAGACGGAGAATATCTTTTTTTTTTTAAACGCACGCACGGCGTAATAATCTGGCTGCTGACAAAAGGCCTGGGAATGACCATGAACTGGCGAAGTAATGATGGCCGTTTTTCCCTCCGATCAGTAGTGAGGAGGAGATAAGGCGCACACTTGGCATTCTCCAGTTGTGTCATTACAGTTTCTAATGAGCTCAGCTTTGAGAATCTAAAAGCTGAGCTCTTTGAAATCTCTCACTGCCCCTCTCTCCCATCCTGTGTGTGGTTAATTAGGGCCTTGAAGCAGAGGAAATGGGAGCTGCCATTTCTGGAAGGCGCAGCGGCACGCACGGGGGACGCATGTGTGGATAACGACAGCCCTCAACACCCACAGAGCAAGGTGAGGAAAGCCATTATCAGCATTCTCCTTCTCATTTAGGCATCACTTTAGCTGCTGCCCCCCCCACAACCCGCAACCCGACTCTTCTGCTGTGTAGTACTCTGTTATTTCCTGCTAGACACTTTAAAACCAAAGAACTAGCTTGAGCTTCAAATGTAGTAACTATTTAAAGGGATACACACGTCATTTCCACTCACTGTCACAACAAAAATGGCGCAATTAGAGAATGAAAATGACCTCCTGGCCCTGAAATTTAACACCACTTCCAATGACGATCCGATCGGACGCGCTGACCGACTGGTGCAGCTGCTAATTAGCCAAACGGCGCGGCTCAGCGTTCGGAGGCCTTGCTGATCCATGTCAGCTGCTGCTGCTGCTGCGGCGTTGAGCGAAACTCACGAGTTCACATTTACTGGGATCATTTATGACAGGCGCTGTCAGGTGAAGCTGACAATTTAGCAATAATGTCACTGGAAGACGTTGTTGTTCTTACATGTTTTTTGCCGAAAATGTCCTTCTTCTTCTTCTTCTGCCCAAAGAGGCCGTCCTCGTTTCCTGTCTGCTTGTTGTCACTGAAATAACAAAGAGGAATTTTTATAACTGCAGTTTATTAATCAAATAACAGAAATAACATTTAGAGCAGCATTTAACCTAAAACTGTACAATTCATATAAACATTTTGATTCTATTCAGATGAAAAATATTTTGTCTGTAAATATGCTCTACATACAACCTGAAACACATTTTGCTGTCCAACCATTAATTAGATAATCCAAACAATAGTCAATAGATTATGGAGTCTAGCTTTTAAACATTTTGGGTTTTTGTTTGTTTACTGAACTGGAACTGAGAAGTCTCATTACTAAAGTTGGGTTTTTTTCAGATTTGTTTGTATTAATTTGTTTTGCTCTTCATTGAAAGTACAAACCTTCTGAATAATTGTGCAAGAAATGTTTCCTGCTATTGGTAACAATACAAATGTGGGAAAAGATTAAGCATTAATTATTTGTAAAACTTATACCAAGACACAGCTTCACAAGTTGCTAACGTCCCTAATTTTTATTTGTTCTCATATAATTACAACTTTATTGTCCTAATATCATGAAATTATTATTGCAATTAAAAAAAATCATAGTCTGGCCCTAATACTTTGTCATATTGTTGACCTAAATTGAAAATTCAAAAACACACTTGTCAGTCAAGATGGCCGCCCTATGAAAAAAAGGAAGAATTCAGACTTTTGATCTCGGAACTGGATTGAAGTCAGAATCCTGAGATTGAAGTAAATTTCTGAAAAAAGTGTCAAAGATTTTTATATTTTTCAGTGTGATCCTTTTTCTTTCCCTGTGTTTGGTGACTTCAATCTAAACTATGGAAGGAGTTCAATGGCAGAAAAACTAAAATCTAGATTTTCCAAAACCTAAATCTTCAAAAATTTGATCAAATTGATAAACTTGAGCCATGCCAGGAGGCTTCTTAGATGAAGTCATTAAACATCTGTGAGGTTTGTACACAGCTGCGCCCGATGCCTGGCAGCGGCGGCAGCAGAAGACGATGGACCAGCGGAGATAAGTGGTTAATTGGACGCTGTATCTCAGCAGAGGATCTCATTACTGCGGCTCAAAGGGCTTTGCTACTCTAAAGAGCCGCTAATGACACCTTCCACTCAGATAAACTCTCTGACGAAGCCCAACTACCTGGTTTTGTAGCTGAAGCTGAACGGGTTGGTGTCGGCCGCGGCGTCGGCGCTGAACGGGTTGGGAGAGCGCAGGTCTCCGGAGCTCCCCGATCGGCCCCCGTTGCCGGCCCTGCGGCCCTCCTTCTTCCCCGTCACACGTTCCAGCAGGCTGACCTTCTCCTTCTTCTCCCTCCGCTCCGCCCGCTCCCACGGCTGCTGCCCCCGCTCGCCCTCAAACGGGTTGCGGTTGCGTGGGAGCGTGGCATACTTCTGTGGCAGGGTGTCACTGATATCAGTGAAAGGGTCACTGTGTGCTTCTCCGTCCTGGTATCCAGGCACCTCGCTCTGGGAACGCCGGTGAGGGCCACCTGTACTTCCTGGAAGAGGAGGAAAAACAACTTGAAGCCGCCGCTGCAATAAACAGGACAAACAGCCGAACGGCTCGTTAGGAAACTCAAACTGCTTCACTGTGTTGAGAGGCCAGCTGCAATAAAACACAACTTTTAAACAGCACAGTTTAATAATAAACTAATGCTGAAACGATGAATCAACTGATTATTGTCCAGATGTACTAAAGGAATGCCACGTTGCATTTTAGGCAATAAAATGTTTATTTCCTTTTTTAACAAAGGAATTTAGTTTATTTGCATCAGCAAATCTATTTAAATGTACAAAAACAGCATCAGTGTAGGACTGAAACGGTTAATCATGACTAATAGGTTCAGATGCACTAAAGGAATAAAATTTTAGGGAACAAATGTTAATTTATTTTTTTTTAATGTATTTAATTAGGTGTTTATTTGCATCTTTAAATGTATTTCTAATGTACAAGAAAATTTTCATCAAATGAAGTTTATTTGTGCTTAGTGCTTTGTCATAAAGGCTCAAACGATTAATCGGATTAATAAATGATGGTAACAATTGTTAAATAATTTAGGCAATCACATTTTTTTCTTTCAAGAAAGGAATTTAATTGTTTATTTTCATTTTTAGATGCATTTCTAACATACAATACAGGTTTAAGTGTTGGGTTGAAACGATTATTCAGATTAATCGTTAATCATCAATTATTGAAATAATCATTAACTAATTTAGGTAATAAAATATTTTCTTATTTAAAAAAGTCATTGATTAGTTTATTTGCATCTTTAGATGCTTTTCTAATGTAAGGCTGAAACAATTAATTGGATTAAATGTCTCTACAACCTTAAACTATGTCGAAGCATCTTTAGCTTCAGATTCATAACTCAGTGTTTTCCCATATTGAGCCTCCAAACGTTCTCCAAAGCGACCAGATTGTGAGGAAATCTCCTGTCCAATCAGCCGCTGGCGTTACAAAGCTCTACATTCCTCTCATGGATCCTCCATGTTTGACTGTTTGTTCCAGACGAAGCGTCTTTCACTCAGGACGTGCCGTTCTCTCTGTTTTTGTGTCCAACGCGTGTTGTGATAAGGTGGCCCAAAAAGTTCCAGTTTGGTTTGGTTAGACTGGAACACGTTGTGTCCTAAAAGGTTGTGGGAGATTTTTCAGCCCGGTCCAGATGTTGGACCTCAAACCCAAAGGCCTTCATGGTAACTTTTCCCAGCCTCCAACCTGTTTCTCAGTACTTTGGGATAAATGTCGAGTTTCTTGTTCTAGATTTTCTCCAGTTGTTGATACTGGAGGAAATATATCCGAACCACCGATTTAATGGAAACTGTAACTAAAATGGCCACCTGTGCACTGGACAGCAGGTGTGATTCAAAAGGTGCCTCAAAATATTAGTGAGCCACATTTAGGCTACAGTAACTTTTTATTTATGGGCCTTTAGTAACATGTAATTTTTTCTGAGCTGTTCTTGAATTTTATAGTAGATTTGTCACATTATATGCAGAAAAAATATATATATATTTTTATATGCAGAAAAAATATATATTGATTACAGGGTTTTTGATTAAACCCTGTAATCAAAAATAATATTGATTACATTTTTACAGGACTTGTAATTAATCATAGTTTAATAAAAAATAGTGAACATTTCTCATTGAACAAAAAAATGTTTTTGTTTCTAAATTAATGAATAAATAAATGTATGAGCGCAACAACAAAGATATTTATTGTTTTCATTTTGGTGCTATTATACTCATTAGCTTGTCAACTAAGAAGCAATTTCCCCTTAGGGATCAATAAAGTGTAATCAATCAAAGAAGCCATATTGGCTGTACCGTAGAAGCTGAAGTCTCATATCAGCCATATCAGCAGGCAGCAAAATTAATGGTGCTTCCAGATTGGTTGTGTCCCAAACATCAACGTAATGCATTGTTACCATGATGTAAATTTAATCTTCCCCTGCAGCATTTTTGCAGATATGTTAGCATTTGTGCTCTGCAGCGCTAATTGTTGCTCACCGCTCTCTTCGATGGAGTTCATGGAGTCCAGTTTGGGTCGGAAGTGGTTCCCGATGAGGTCGGACATGGAGTGGGCCGCCGACAGCTTCTGGCCCCCGGACAGCAGCGGCCGCTTCGCCTTCATCTCCGGCTTCGTCTCCGCCGCCGCCGGCCGGCCGCTCGGCTCCACGTCGCAAACCACAGAGCGGGGCAAGATGGCCGAAGACGTGTCGCTGTAGCCGCCCCCGCCGTCGTTTTTGCGACCTTTCACCTTGTTCTTCAGCTTGGAGAAGGGCGAGCGCGGCTTCTCCTTCATGGAGAGGTCGAACATGCTGGCCGTCATATTGTTCCTCATGAACTGGATGCTGACCTCGATCCGACCCCGGTCCTTCTTCTTCTTCCCCGGCTTGGACTCCAAGGAGAACCAGCTGCAGTGGGAGAGAAGAAGCTTAAGCTCAGCAAATTCAGTGACAGAATTTACAGAAAAGACGCAGGATTAACGCAGTGCAGCTCCAACAACAAATCCTTTCAGTTGATCACACATAATTCATGGAGACGTGCAGACAAAATAAGAATGTGGTACAAGTCTTTATGCGACCAAACAACACAATAAATGGAATAATACGCTTCCCCTACTCCTTAATAGACACAAATGAAAAGCCTAATTTGAGCTGAATAATCCAAAAGGTTAAATCACTTCAACTTTTTTTTTTTGACACAACCAAGAGGCGCCATTTATTTTTTAAAAGGATAAACATTATTCTTTGAAATTCGAACAGAAGAAATTGCCTCCTGAAGAATAATAAAAGGCCATTCCAGGCTCCTATTTGTTTAACCCTTCTGCTTTTTCAACTGGAAATAATGGGATTTTTTTTTTTTGGCCTTCACTGGGAGGGGAAAAGTGTGGCATTTGCACAAATCTGGCCTTTGTTCAGAAATGCAACGACAAGCAAGTGGGAAACTGCAAAGCCACATGACAGGGCAGCGCAGGAGTTCATCCATGCTAATGAGACGTATCCGTGTTCATTAGCACGCCTCACGACGAAACCGCCGTTTAGAAAGGTTTTCTGTCTGTTTTCTATATGAATGTGTCACATTTTACAGTAGAGCTAATATTTAAAGCTGCAAATGTCATCGCAGTTTAAATGTGTGCAACATTACAGTCCTGGATACAATGTTAGGATGAAAAAATGTGAGAAAAATGTGAGTTTATCCTCAATATTCAATAATTTCACAATTTAATATTTTCCTGCCTTTTCTTAAAGCAAGAAAAACAAAAAATCTTAAAGGTACAAAGAGATTAATTAATCACAAAGGGCCTTTTAACTCATTTCAAAGAAGAGTCATTTTCTTGTATCAAGTCTACAAGATTAAGTAATCAATCATTTTGATAATCAAATTAAAAAATGGGCACATTATGCAGGTTTTTAATTAGAGCACTAAAGCTTATTTTCTACCATTTTAGAAGTAAATTAAAACAAATAATTAAATTCCTTTTTAAACCATCCGCCGAGATGTTTTTTATCTGTGTTTGGTCTGGCTTGGTCAGTATGTTTGTGTGTGTAGTTTTGGGAACTGACGGTCTGACGGGGCTAAAATTAAACAATATTTAACTGATAATAACCAGCAAACACACTGTAAAAATTAATTAAAACTGACTGAATTAGTCCAAAAAAAATTTCACAACTAAATAAAACTAAATGGTACAACAATGCTGCCCTTATAGGTGAATAATAGTTTATAGATATGTTACTGATTTACATATAAACAATTTATAAATCATTAATAACTGTTTATTATGCATTAATTAAGGGTGAGGAGGAAAAATCTACTGTTCACCTATCTATCTTATCTAAAGTAGTTCTACAAAACATTTCTCTCAATAAGCATTTGTAAATATGTTTATGTTTTCTTCTCAGCCTTAATTAATGCATAATAAACAGTTATTAATGATTTATAAAGTGTTTATTGATGGATGGATGACAAATTATTTATTAGTCATCTACAAGGGGAGAATCATTGTAAAGTGATGCCAACTAGCCTTTAACAACAAACCCAAAATCGGTTAAAACCTTGATTGGGTGTGGTTCCGACCCGCAGCATGCTGCTGCCACCGCCTCAGGGTCTCAGATCTCCAATCTCGTCACAGACACAAACACAGGCTAGTTAACGAATACCAAGCCACGTTTTTCTTCCTGAGCACGTCGGGTCCGAGGCGGCCGGGCCGACCACAGGCCCGCCGTGTGGAGCCGTGGTACCGACGGGGATCATTACAGAACCGCTGCTGAAAAGCTGCAGAGCCTGGAGGTGCATCACTACAGACACCTAAATAAATACCAGCCAGCAACGCTGATTGTAACATATCGTGATTCTGGCTACTGATGGACGGGGAGGAAGTGTGCTAATGTCTTTCCATGATGGGACAGGCGGTGATCTAATTAACACCAGATCCAGTCCCGCAGCGCGAGGAAGATGATGTCAGACCTTCATCCTCTGGTTGGAGAGCACAGATTAACTCATCAAGGTCTGCCCTGAAGACGTTAATTCTGGATATATGTGTTGGATTAAACTTTGTTTCAATTCAAAAATTCCTTGAGAAGTCAAATTTGTCAAGAAACTCCGGTTCATTTGGACCAAAAAACTGAACTCTGACCCCAGTCTGGGTTTGGCTGAAATTAACTCTGGTTTGCGAATGTGAACGCCAAGCGGATCGGAGACCGTTCCAAAAGCAGAAAGTGGACGACAGTCCAGGGCATTCTGGGTAAACACAAGCAAAACAAACACGCTACGCTAGCGCTAACATCCTGGAGGGAATCAGAGCCGCTGTTTCTCCGTAACGAAAGAAAGAGGAAGAGAAATAAAGATTAATAACATGATAAAGAAAAACGAAACAGAAAAGAAAGAAATAAGAGACAGAAAACAAAGACAAAAGAGAAACAGAAAGATAAAAAGATAAACAAAAAGAAAGATTAAAACAAAAGAGACAGAAATAAAGAAACAGAATCTGCATCAAAACATCTGTTGTTAAACTGTTTTTTACAGAACATAAAACTATAAGGTGACTAAAAATGTTTAACAAACAAAATTCTTTCAGGTTTTGACCTGCTAATCAAAGTATTTCTCAACCGGCAGCAGAGAAACCCAGAGGACATTTACACTCAGAAAGCTGAAACTCAACAAACGGCATCGCTTCAGGCTGCTGAGAACAAACACGGCTGCATTTTTTCACACAAAAACAAAAAAATGCTCCACTGGGAGTGACTACCTAAACATGTTTGTCCAGCTCCGCTTGTTTCATTGGGCCTCCAAGTGAATCACTGACATTTGTCACTTATTAGGCGACATATGATCTCTAAACAAAGGGCAATCAACTGTCAGAGAGGTGGAACAGAAGTTAAAACCACCAACTGCTGTTAAAACCATGCTGAGCTATAAACGACTTTAAACAGATGTTTAAAATGAGACGAAGCTGTAAAACAAGTGTGTGACGAATATAAAAGGCAAAGTGACTGTGTTTATGCCACATGGTGAAAAGGAGCGGGGTCATGAACTTATTAAAGGATGGAATAAAACAGGCGGGGAAGTCTGAAATAGCTTTAACACATGCGGCGAGTGTGACTCAAAAACTGATTTAGTTCAGGCTGAGGCCTTGTGACTGGAGGAGAACCATCGGCGCGTTTCCTCTCACTGGATAAAATAAACTAAAAACATCATAAACCAGGAATTAGGATCCAAGCAGAGGTCGCTCTGGATCTTTTTGTTGTCCATTTTTGACTGATGGCGTCACAAATATTTTTATCTGTCAATCTTTAAATCTGTTACATTTAGTTTTTATATAGATTAATTAATATTCAAAGTTGAACAAACAATCCAGATCATCTCACATCAATGAAGCAGATGAACTTATCAAACTTTTTCTCTGCAGTGATGAAAACCACTGGCAGAACGATAAAATTAATGGGCTTCACCTGCTCTGGTCTGAAGCCTTTCAACTTCCTCCTGCTTCACATCTAGACAGGAAATCTGCACTAAAGTTTAGATCGGACCTAAAAAACCCAACCCACCCGATCCGAGTCCATCGAGTCTGAGCCCGATCCAACCCGACTGATTAACGTTAATTAGAGGCTCGAGCTTCAACCCGACGTATTTAATGAAGATTTTTCTGCTTTGCTTTTAGAGAACCCTTTGAATAACTTCTCCCAGCTTCCTTCGACATCATTCAGCTCCGTTTTGTCGCTTGTTGTAACTCAGGATGAGTCAAGTGCAAATCTTCTGGGGTGATTGATTGAAAGGCTGGAATCCCTGCAGCTCCAGCAGAGCAAGGCAGAGCCGCTTCTTACAGTCTAATTAAGTCATTACTTTCTATTTTTAACGAGGTAGACTGTCGACTCCTCCATTTTAACAATAAATAAACACAACAAAGCATTTTCTTTAGTTCCATCTATTCTGTATGAACTGGAAAAACAATTTCAGTCGCTCAGTTCAATACTTCTGGCGCCAGAAGTCACTTGGGGCAAAACACAAAATACCACCCCCTTTAGTTTTATATCTTTTTACAAACTGTGCTCAAAAAATAAAAATAACCTGTAATTTTTATAAACTGGCCCTCTGGGGCTTCAGGAGACAAGACGACCCCAGACGGTACAGTTGATTTGATTCTGGTACTGATTGTTTTAAAAAGTCTCCTATCACTTAGTTTTGCCTGAATCCTCCAACAGCTAAAGAGAAACAAGCTCATCAGAGGTCGTACTCACTCGGTTTTCTTTCGTTGCTTGTTATCAAACATTTCGTTGAGGTTGATCGTCTTCTGGCCCAGGAATTTGTCCATCCCAACCAACGAGCGGTGCATCACTGTGAGCGACAGCACGTACACTTCGGGGTTCCCCTCCAGAAGCAGACCGGGCAGCTCGAAGGACGCCTCCTCCCTCCAGACGGGGTCGGCCGTCTTCTCCGCCACCGACGTGGAGTACTTCTCCTTCCCCAGCTGGATGATGGTGTAGGCATCATTGGTGCCATTTTTGCCTTTAGGCTGTAAACCGGACGCCTGAAGAACGGTGGCTTGGACATGGGTTGGAAACCATTTCTGAGACTGCTCAGCCAGGGACATTTTATCACAGAAAATTAGCAAAAACCCATTCAAAATAATAATACTAATTTAGACAAAAACGTATTTTAGTGACTTCAGTTTGCAAAAAGCATGATTTCCTATAGGGTAGTGTCCATGTCAGAGTGGTTTATGTAGCTATGGTAACAAGCGATGACGAGTCGGACAAACAGAGCACGCCTCATCTTCTGTTGAATCATCGATGTCCAAGCCACTGCTGAGTCATCTGCAACAGACAGCAGCGGAGCAGCGTCAGAACATTTCCCAGAACCAAAACATGACACAGAAAATCATCACCTACAAGGTCTGTTAATTATTTTAGCCAAATTTAAAAACTTCCAAGGCTGCAATGTATAAAAGTGAAGCAGCATGGCGTCATGCTGGTAAGGTCCCCCAGCTGCCTGCTGAAGGCAAAAAGCTGCAGGCCGATAACTAGCATTAATTTTAGCTATTAAGTTGTCAAAAAACACATTAATCTTAAGTATATCAAAGAAAAAGGGACACAGTCAACATTGTCAACATTACAACAACTAGATAAGTTAAGAAAAGTTTTAATTGAGAAAGAAATAATGTGGGACAGGGAAGTAGTTCAGCTGTGCTCACTTGACTATGACAACTGTAACAAGGAGATATGATGTGGGATTCGGTGAGTTTTAGTTCAGAATCTTTTTTTAAGGCGACCTAAACACCAACTCTGACAGATCATCAGTGGAGCAGGTGTTTAAATTAGCTAATAGCAGCGCGAGCTAATTTACCACAGCGATCACTTATTAATTATCGCAAAACAAACATCAAGCCTGAAAGCATAAAACTGTGAATGTTCTGTTTTTTGTGTGTAAAATGTTTGAGTGTCTTTTGGTGTTGAATCCTGATTTTCCAAAAATTGAATTATTTTATAGCAGTAGCAAATATTTAAGCCTAAAAATAGAAAAACTTCTCTCAATCAAATCTTAGAAATACTGACCATACAAAATTCTATTCTTCTTGACAGATAGCAGCTTGGAATCGGACTGAAAGGGATTATGAGATTATCAGTTTATACATAAAATATTCTGATATTTGCCAAACTCAACTCAAAGAATTTGCTGCTTGTTGATATTTTATACGTAATAAAAAGGGTTTTCAATTTTAATTTCGATGATGACACACATAACACAACTTGAGCTACAAAGCAAAATGTGTGTTAATTCAGCACAAACTTCACTGACTACAAACACAAATGTTAGAAATGTTAGTTACATCTAGGGATGAAGAAATAAAACAATAACAACAATAAATAAAAGTGTAGTGTTGATTCTGATCAATTGTTTGACAATTCTGCCAAATCTGGTGTCCTATAAATGAGAAACATAAAGACCTAAATCATATTTAACTCCTCTGTTTTATTGTTCTGACTCATGCTTTGAGATCATCTGACTGTTAATCCCTAGGGCGAGGTTATTACATTTAAGTTTACAGAGAAACATTAATCAAGCCATCACAGCGTACAATTTTTTTAGGATTTGACAACAATGCCATTTCATTGTTTTTCCATCTAAAACTACACTTACTTTTTTAATTATAAAATTCAGATATGGGATAGTTCTCTGTCTGAGTACCTTTAATCTCATTTGTTGTGATGCCACACTGCTTTGTCACACTTCAAGTTTAGTTCTGAATAAATAATGATCCCTAATTTACTTAGGAATTGTAATTTTTTTCAACTGGTTTTTACTTTTAAACAAATTAGACACTTCATTGCGATTTACTGTCATTTCTGTTAACTCATTTCAGTGGAAGTTGCATAAATCCCTTCAATAGAAAAGATTTTCTCCTCACTATTATGAATCTGTCCTTTCATACAGATTTATAGTTTTACTCCGAAGCTTGAGGAGTCCTGCCAAATAAAACTGCGAGTTATAATGAAACACGATCTGAATTGCAGGTCCTGTAATTATAGCCGAATAACTGACATAAACAACAAGATAATCCCTTTAAATGAGTACTGTCTCTTTAAAAAACAACTGTCTCCACAAAGCTTTTTAAACAAACTCCTACGACAGTAAAGAGTTTGCTTAAACATCTAAAAGTAACTCACAAATCCCACAATTAGGAAGTTTAACCCAGATTTACCGTGGTGAGCTGTAGCTGGCCAGCAGCAGGGTATCGTTAGCTTGTTGCTAATGAGACCAGAGCATCACAGCCGCGTTCAGCCCAACAGCGAGCCGCTTACCTCATGGTCATTTCCGCCGACGCCGCACACACATCCGGGGCTTCGGCAGATACACGACCCGTCCGCTGATACATTCACCCGCTGCTCCCTGCGGCTCAGACGGCCGCAAATGTCACTTGTTGTTGTAGCAGGAGCAGCGCATTGCTGTCGGGACGGAGACGGGCTTCACTTCCTGCTCTGACGTCACTTCCTTTTCATGCCGGTGAAAAGGTCAGTGGGGTTATTTAGCTTAAAAATAAATACTATAACAAACATAATACTGTAGAATTTAGCTGTTTGTTTTAGTAGCTGATTTTTTTTTTACATTTTATTGTATTTTTTTATAAAAGACAGATGATGAGCAGGACGGCGGCCATTGCAATACAAAAGACGAAAAAATTCTCAAAATACAAAATGTTGAGATTACATTTTCTAGAAAAACAAGAACATTTTAAGGTTACAAAATTAAATTTATTTAGTCGATTTTCGACTTTTGGAAATTTTCTGACATTCAAAAAAAAGACATTTTTGACTAAGAAATTTCCAAGTTTTTTCTTGGTAATATTCATTGCTTCATTTTCACCTTTTGATAGTCAGAAATTTCTGCATTTTTTCTAGAAAATTTCAGATATTATTAGAATATTTTTCTAGTAATATTTTATTATTTCAAACTCAGAAATTTCCAAGAATTTTCTACAAAATTTCTGAGACTTTTGGCAGAAATCTTGTTTATAATGGTCCTACTACGCCATTATGAATATTTATTTGTAGTTTTTAAATATTCTTTACAGCTAATAAAACCCCAAAATTCATTTTGTCAGAAAGATGGAATACTACATAAGTAACAAAAAATAAAATCAGACAAAAGATTTTATGAAATCAAATTTTTTCAATATGAAACTTGTGAAACTTTAACAAAAACTGCAGGTTGTGAGTCTGGTGAAAGTCTGGTTAAAACATGTTTGTTTTTTATTTGGTCAGTAGAAAAATCCATAAATTTTACATAAGTAACAGTAGAGATACTTCATAATAAAATGACTCAAGCAAAAGTCAAAAGTAACTGTCCAAGAAATTACACATGAGTAAAAACATATTTGGTTAAAATGGCGATTCAAGTACATAATGGCTGATCATTGAAAATGCTAGTATTCTAAAGTCACATCAATAGATGGACCAAAATATGAAGTTATGTGGAAATCTTGAAAATAATTCATGTAAACAATAAAATTAGGGAAAAAATATTTCCAAAGATTGTCCAGAAATCTCACTCCAGTAGCTATATTTCATAATAAACTTAGTAAGTACATTTTTGCAAAAAAGAAAAGTTACTCCAGTAAATTTAATTAAATGTAGTTAATCTTCATCTCAGATATATCACTCTGTGCGTAGTGAACCTATAGAATATATGATGTTCACTTTCCAAACCGGATTACTGAAATAAATTAACTTTTCAGCGATATTCTAATTTATTGAGAAGATCTTGTATGTTTCGAAGGCAGGCAGTAATAAAAGAGTATAAATAAACGCAGCCTGTGAGGAACAGCTTCATGTGTGCGGGCGCAGCTACATGAGGAGAGGTAAATCATACAAACATGGCCAAGTGCCTTTTGTCTCTTGAGTGGGACATGGAGGTGCAGATAAGAGGGTTCGGCTGAATGAACACAGACATGCTCGTCACCCCACTTGACAAGTGCATCTTAACCAAACACACCTGCTCCATGTTGGTTTTATCGTTCCGCTGCAGTTTGTGCACACAGCGCTGGCCCGCGGCTCTGCCTGGGCCATCCATCAGGCTCAGATTATTGCTTTTTATCTCGAGTACATCTCTGAATGAAACGCTCAGGGTTAGTGAAATATTAGGCTGTGTGCGATAATATTTAATACTTCTGCGGCTCTCGGCCCACATGTGTAATGTCCACTGTTAACGTTGGGTGGATATTAGAGTACAATGTCACTTTTTAAGTAGCTATAAAGGAGGCAGATGTTCCACAGTGTTGGCTGTATATCACAGACTCTTTATTTTATCTTTAGCTTACAAAAAATAGCTGCATATGGAGCTCATTCTCCTCTTCGTTTAGCTGTATTCTCCTCAGTCAAGTTGTTATAAAAAATGCTGTACAATTTAACGCCTTGAAATTGAGCCTCTGTCTCTTCAAGAAGCTCTTTCTGAAACTCTGCCCTCAGGAAGTCATCACAACATGGCTCCTCTATCAACCCTTTAACAATGTTTTTACCAGAGTTTCACTGAAAAGTAGCTCCTATAATGAGCTGAGGAGATGTTTGCCAGTTGCTGCTGGCTAGTCTTAAGGAGCTGAGAGGGGTAGGAGCTCCGCCTAAAAGGCAGAGCAAGGAGACTAAAGGAAACTAAAGGATTTCTCAAACAAGCATGAAAGAATCAAGCCAAGGTTAGTTTCTGGTGAGAAAATAATTTATAACATGATAATCATTACACTCTAATGATTTGTGTAATCATTGGAATGATTACATAAGTTAAATAAGATGTCGTTATTATAAAAAGTTCCTGGTTATTGTACTGTATTGGGAGCATAATATAGCTAAACTCCAGCTTCAATTTCAAATTTTTTTTGTCATTTCAATTCTGTCATTTTTCAAATTGAGAACAAACATTATGACCTTAATTTAGCTCCACACAACTGATTTAAAAGATTATCGAACTACAGCTTCCCTTTGCAGATTTTTACACAGTAAAATTGCATGTAGAGTATTTATTTGGGTCATTGGCTGACAGGGAAAGCCACAGGGATCTCCGCTGAATATTGTTTACAACTTGGCAGGACGAGATCTGATAAGGCCTCGGTCGGAGCGTTTAGCTGCTGGTCGTCTTCCAGGCGTCGATGATTTATCCCGTCACGTCAGCGCGCGCATTCCTTTTTGGGGAATACTTTATGATCTGTTGTGGTTAGCGGTGTCAGGTTGAGTTGAGTGGAATAACGAGCAGATAAACAACCCGGGTCGTGACACTCTTCCTTAATTTGACAATAAGTCAAACACGTTCATATATTACGCCGCGGGGCCGGAGCACATGTTGGCGCTTGAGATGAAAACGCCGCCGGCTGCGTTCCAACATCACCTGTAGCATCTGAGCAGAATATATCTGTGCGTTTAAAACCAGAACATTGCCTCATAAACCAGCAGCAACGTAAACGCAGATTCTACTGTAGATCTTGAAAGAACTTTGCTGAGGGTCATAAACAGCCCTTCATGCACGACCCTCAAAGAACGGCAGAGTACCCGAAAATATCACTCAATAGTAGAACTACTTCAACATATTTTATGTAAGAGTAAAATGTCTTTGGTAAAACTCATGTACTGAGTAACTGATCAAATTATCCATCACTATCTAAAATGTACATAATCAGATGGACAAAATGCAAAGTTAACTGGAAAGTTTGGAATTTTAAGATATAAAATGAAAATAAATTGTACAAATGTTGGCAAAAGCTGCAGGTGTGTGTCTGTGTCTGGAGAACTTTTGGTTATAAGATGTTTGTTTTTCATTCAGTTGGAAGAAAATCCAGAAATTTTACTCCACTAAGAGTAGAAATACTTCATAATAAAGTAAAAAGTAGTTGCCCAAGAAATTAGTAAATTAAAAAAGGACAGTGATTCAAGTATTGATGAAGTGATCAAAACATCATTTCATATTTACAAATTACGTAAAACGAAATAGAATCTGAAGTTAAGTGGAAATTTTGGCATTTTACAAATCAAAATAATAATTCAATGGCAATAAATAAAATCAGGCAAAAGGTTTTTTCCAAATCCGTTTCTTTCAATGTGAAACTCATGAAACTTTAACAGAAACTGCAGGTCTGTGTCTGGTGAACTTTTGGTTAAACATGTTTGTTTTTCATTCAGTGGGTAGAAAATCCAGAAATTTTACTCAAGTCGAGATACTTCATTATAAAATTACTCAAATTACAGCGTAGTAAAGATACTGCTAAAAGTAGATTTTAAAAAAAGCACTTCACTAAAGTGAATGTAATTGAACAAATGTAACTAGTTACTACCCCGCTCTGCCCTGGGGTCATAAACCGCCCTTCCTGCGTGGCCTCCGCTCCACATGTTGAACCACATTAGCGACAGCCTCTAACGGCTGCTAGCCACATGGTTCAGGTTTAGATTCCCGTTTTTTTTTTTTTTCACCCCCAACACTCTTCAGGTTGTTTTACATTTATTAAACACTTAAAAATCCACAGGCCACAAGGTTGACCATCTGTTGAGGACAGGACAGCGTAGGAGAAGGCAAGAGGCGCGGCGGGGCGAGTGGAAACAGTTGTGATGTCACTGCAGGTCTTAATGCGCTGCAGGTCTGAGATGACTGATTTAAAAGGTACAGCTTTTAGCTGAGAGAACAGTCAGATCACAGATGAATTTTAATCAAAAAAGGAGGAGAACGGCACACAAATCACCGCCGCTTGGCTCTCAGGAATGTTTTTGTGCGTGGCGCTGATATATGGGTGCAGATGTGCGACTACAGCATGACGAGCGGAGCTGGCGACTCCCTAAAGTTTCTTAATTTCTGCATCAAAACCTTAAAAAGGGTCAAACAGACACACACACAGACACACACACACAAAACCCTGCAGCAGTTTTCTGCTTGTGTGTTTTGTTTTCTGATTTAAAAATATATATATTTGGAAATATGAAGATAAGAACTGAAATAATTCAGGAAAGTTGAGTGGAAGAAAAAAGTGCACAATGTTCCAGTGTCCAATTTGTTAATTTAGGATATTTTGAATATTCAAAATGAATAAAATAACAGAAACAACAGATAAAATGAATTAAGTCTCTGTAAATTAAAAACTAAACTTTCCTTCAATAAGAGCTATTAACTGAAAACTTTTAGCATCGAGTTTTGGTAGAAAGAGAGAAACAGTAAACATGTAAATAGGAATTAAGCTTTTTTTTAATTTATCATGGAATGAATTGATGTATTAATTATTGAGTCTGGGCCAAGCTGGAAATGTGTCATGAATTTTAATTTATCATCATTGGGTCAGTAATATGTTGGCTAAAATTACAGCTGAGATCTTAGCTTCTTATTTTTTGCAAAATAGAGCAAAAATTACAGATTTTCAATTGGATTTAGTTTTTTTAAAGTCTTGTCACTTTAAATCCAAATAAATGCTGATGGCCACGTCCTCAAAACTCAAT